CTATCTAGGCAGCTATATCTCATCCGGCGGACGCATCACAGATGAAGTGCCGGCGCGCATACAAAAGGCTCGATTGGCATTTGCCAACTTGAGACATTTGTGGCGCCGTCGCGACATCCGGCTGTCGGTGAAGGGTCGATTGTATGCTGTAGCAGTTCGGCCAGTCCTGCTCTACGGTGCAGAGACTTGGCCCCTACGGGAACAGGATAAAAATAGATTGTCGGTGTTCGAACACCGCTGTCTACGTAGCATTGGACGTGTCTGGTGGGGTAACCGGACTAGCAATGCGGAGGTCAGGCGTAGAGATTTAGGTAACCGCGGTCGCTCACTGGAGCAAGTGGTCCACACCCATAGATTACGTTGGTCGGGGCATGTGTTACGCATGTCACCAGATAGGTTGCCACGGCGAGCGATGTTTGCCGAGACAGGTAGTGTTTGGAAAAAGATCAAGGGTGGTCAAACTAAGACCTAGCATGAGAGTTTGAAAACTCTAACCAGGAGACTAGGGCACATAGGTCCGTTAGGCTCCCTGGCTGGGAACGTCGGGATGATGGTCACCAGTGGTTAGAGACACTGAGTGATATGGCTGTTTGTCGCAAACAGTGGCGCTCGTGCATCCACTCGTTATTTTCCTAACACCACTCTATATGTATCCCCCATCTTCTNTTTCACTTCGTTCTTTTATCCAAATGGGCAACCAAAGACAGCAACCAAAACCGGCGCACGAAAGTGCATGGTTAATGGTTGTAAAAACTGAAAACCGATGATAGGTTGAAATACAGGCTTTAACCAAAACGGAATGAACGGCTATTACGACTTAAGTGGTTCAGCATACGGATGGGTAGTACCCGCGAGATAGGATACCAATATAATCGTGTCAAACGAAACACTCAAGACTACAAGCGGATGCCACACCGAACCGAAAGAGAAAAGGAAAGACAAACCATCAGGCAAGGTTATGTATTTGGCTCAATCCAAAGGCTGCTGTAAGAACAAACTCATCTGTTTATATACATCTGTCTCCCCTTTGCAAAGTAGCTCGAAATTGCCAAATAGGCTACTCAGGGAGGAGTCGGGTTGGTGGTGCGATGGAAACCCATTTAAGAGGGAAAAGTGAAAGACGGAATTTGATCAAGATAAATATAAAATAGGAGAAATAAGGGATTATCGTTTTCTTTTTTAAGAAAACTGAGATTTTCCCATTCAATTGAAAATGAATGTTTTAAGCATATCACACAATTCGTGAATGAGAACAATAAACGTTAGCCATACGGGTCTGGATATCGGCGGTCTAGTAGCTTTCGGTTGTGTGCTTTGGGTTCAAAGATCTGAAGTTCGATTCTTTTCACTGCCACCCAAATTTGGCAATAGACAGCT